CGAGCGGACGAGCCGCTCGGCTCGATTGCCATCACTACTGTTGAGATTGGAAACAATTATTATTTTAAAGGGATTATTAATTTATAGGGTTTTTTAATATTTTTATAACTTGGATTATATTTTATTATAATACATGTAGGAATTTTTATTTTTATTTTTTTGAAAAAATATTGAATGTGATGAAATTCAAAATTTAATATGTAGGCAGTCAAAAGGTGCATACATTAAAGAGGAAACATCAATGTTACATGCATTGGCTTCAAAATAACGCGGTAATGAAATCTCCTATCGATGAAGTTATTATTTAAGGGGTACTCAATATACTTATCAATGATGATCATGATCTGGATAGTAGTTGTGTTTTACCAACCGTTTCTTCAAAAAAGACATTTCAAGTAGTACTTAACCTTAAATAATTTGTACAAAATGAAAAAAATATGTCGAATATAGTATGTACATTGCAAAAAATTAAGGATGAAGTTCAGCTTGATTTGAGTGCAAAGAAAAAGCCAAAAAAAAGCTTTATATGTATAATTTAAGAAAGTGGCGAATTTTAAAAAAATATTGTCAAATTAAAATTTTGTTAATTTGTATTAGTATGAACTTTTATGAATTCAAGTAATTATTACTTTATACTTTCGTTGGGTTTTAAAGGATCTAAAAAAATTATTATTATTATTTTATTTTTTTTATAACCGTGGATGTCCGAACCAGTTTGCGCACACCTCGACTAATTCCACGGGACCTTGAAGTTTACAGTCGGGTACTCACCTCAGTGGCCCTGAGGGGACTCGAACTGATCTTAAAAAAAAAAAAATTATTATTATCTTATGCATTTAGCGAGATTACTAATTTAGTACACTAACTCAAGTCGGGACGGAAGAATTTTATTATTTTAGCGAGAACATTAATCTTAACATTCATTTATCGAGATTTTATTGTAATTGTATTCAACCAATACTCGTTTTATAACAATGACACAAGGCTATTGTATGCTATGAAAATGGGCTTGCAGGTGGTAAATGGGGCGAATCAAGTCAGGTTGGTTCAACCAAAGCATGGTTAAGCTTGTGAGCCATTTGTGGCTTGCTAATTTTTTATTTTTTTTTAATTTTTATATGTCTTTCTAAAATTGCATGTTTTACTTTTATTATAGCGAGATGGCTAGCATATGAGCTTACAAGTTCAAGAGCCAACTCGTGCAAGTCAACAGTGGTTTGCACGATAAATTCGGTTTTCTTTAGTGGCATGAGCAGTGAGCTGACGAGCTACTCGCCCCACTCAACATCCCTAGATCCTACACTTATTTTAGTAAACTAGTAAGTTTCTTAACATGTTTTCTCTCCGTCCCTTCCCACATCAGGGATTTTAGGAAAGTTATGTATGGCCAAGATATAAAAGTTTCTATTTTATGTCCATTATTTAATTATTTTTTAATATTATTATATATAATTTTAAAAACATAACATAAAAGTCAAAATGGAACAAATCATGGGGGGACGAGACCACAACATTTTGCCATCCCTAATCAAATTGATTGGCTTAACCAACATTATTAGCTATTATTTCAACATGATGATCAATAATTCTATTCTCGCTCAAATTGGAAGTTCTTCTTCAGTTGTAGTAATCGAGCTCGAGTTTTAGAACTCCATAAGTGTCTTGTCACCACTCCATGTTATATATATTGTTCAATATTAATAAAATGAAAATGGAATGTAGAAGGAAGAAGAAACGGTAAAAGGAAAGGAAAAAAATTTGAACCATGCGACATTGACCATGCAGTCGCATGGGTATTACCGAGAAGAAGAAACGGTAAAAGGAAAGAAAAAAAATCTAAACCATGCGACATTGACCATGCAGTCGCATGGGTATTACCGAGACTTAATGTCTCGGTATGGATTGTACCATGCAGTCGCATCTCGCACGGTACAAAATTCTGGCCGTTTTTGGCAGTTTTTTACCGTTGGTGTTTTTGAATTTGGTACATTTTCACATGTTTTTTGGCACTATT